GTCAAACATTTTTGAAAATTAAACTGTATATATAATATATATTATAACACTAACATAAACATTTGGTGAAAATTTCAAGTATTTACAGTGATTATTTTTTGAATTACAACCATATAAAAAAATCGATTTGGTTAGATTAAATTTCCTTTTAATTTCCGACAGTAGTTTTAAGTTTTTTATTTTCATCAACAATTATGTAACTTATAGAAATTGAAGGTTATTTAATTAAACATTTATCCATATTAAGAAAACCACAGCTAACTGTATAGAATTCAAATTGTTTTTATATTAATAGGCGTATTTGTAATATTACATTTCCTACATATTATAATGAATTATAATTTATAATGTTATATTACCTATCATTAGTATCATTACAATAATATTAAATACAATAAATCTACTCCTCTAATACGTATTGTTATACAAATTTCAATTTTAAAGATGGTGTCTGATAGAAAATAGAATACAATATATACATTTAACTCATTTAAGGGATAACATTAAAAAAAAATGTAAACAATATGTTTTTAAATGTGAATAAAACACTTTTTAAATTTACAGTTCAATATTAGTACAAMATTTTTCACAGTCTACAGACATTTTATTAAGAATTTAGGTCTTATCAGGTGACAATTGTTTATTTTGTGATGGAATAATGCCCCAAATCTATAGGAAACCTTTCTATATTTTCTCATCCATAATGCCATCTATAAGAAATATAAAATCTATTTAAATACGTATGTAATCTTTAACGTATATAATTGACACAGTGGTTGAAGTGGGGATGGAAAATTATGGTAAGATGTAATCTATCCGCTTTTTATAATTTACATTTTCCATCACATCGCTTATTTTAAAAGAAATAATTCGTCCTCAGTATAATCATTTCCAAATATGATTAATTTATATAGGAAGGTATTTTTCATAACTTTTTTGTTTTTACAATGGTTTTTTTAATTATTTTTTTCAATAAAACAATAAACAATTATATTTATTATAAATATTTTAAAGACCATTATTTAAATGGTAAATAGGTATTTTATATTAATAAGTATTAATAGGTAAATGACTGAAAAATAACTTAGTTATTCAAAATTATTTATAAATATATGTATAATTATTTATTTTTACTCATTTTATACCTAACCTAATTATGTATACAGTATATTGATTTAACAACATCAATCAGTCATAAAATTTAATCAATAACTATAATAAAAATGATTAATAATTAATTCATTAATTTTTACATGCCTATATTTTTATGATAGCTTTTTAAATTAGTTATACATTATTAAATAATAATCCAATGAACCATTTGAATGGTTAAAATTTCAATCAAAATTTAAAGAGATCAAAGTTACAACTTTTTTGATTCATTTTACAAAAGTTAATTAATATAATACAATTTGTATTTTAAAAAGGTTTAGGATTTCTATTTATTTTTTATTTTTTTTTACTTTCTATGTAATGATATAAATTGTATTATTTGTATTTATAACTTTATGTACATAAATATCTTAAACATAAAATATTTATTGTTTTAAATTCAAAATATATTCAGCTGTATGTAGGTAAGTGAAGCCTCGCCCGATATTCACCATTGACAGGTAATATATTGTAAGCCTTGTAGGGGTACTATAAATAAGGTAGTATAATTTAACATATCCTAATAACTAGTATATTTGTGTTGCGAATTAATTAATCTCCATAATCTTATGAAGGTAATCCATTAAAAGCTATACTATAAAATACAGTGCAATAATAAAGAAAATATTTTTTTCAATTTTTATAGTGTGTGATGCGCTTACGCTATGTCACTGTCCCGAACGTTTATTATAACAGTCGGTCACGTATGACGTATATAATATGTATAAGCGTGTTGTTATTATAAAATTATATATATGCGTATATTTGTGTATTTTTATGTTTAAAGATTATCGAAGATGTCCATCGACTATGGCAGTATACAATAATGTAATAAACAAGTCCCTTTCGACCTTCGACCGCCGTTGGAATGGATCTGCAGCTACTATTTTATACATATATATATTTAACATAACCAACAAACAACACGTTCAGATATGTATATAATATTGTATTCCAACCACCCTCGCCGATACCTATATAGCTATGTATAATATATTATATATATCTATATACAATACGGTCGGAGACCGTCATGTTGTGTACAAAAGAAATTCCAAACCGATGATATATATTATATTATATTGTACCACATTCGTACCCGTAGTGTCATCACGAATTCGAGTGTAGAAGGAGAAAACCATGCAGTGGTTCGTAAAATGTTATTTCCATGGGTACTATGGTTCAAATTCATGTAAAATAGAATTCCATTTGTTTATCCACATAATTTGGCTCGTTAGTTGTTACTCTTATAATTGTACCACAACCAAAAAATTACAATCCAAATTACTAATTAAAAAAAAAAAAACTATGGATACAAAGTAAAGCAAAATGTGTATTTTCAAATATAAAATAATAAATAAAATTTGTTCATTATTAGTAAAAATAAAATAAATAGCTATTTTGAAATCTACACACATTTTTTTTTTT